TTATTGGAAAGTACAATTGATCCTAGGATAACAGAGATTTTAGAAAGTGACGACAATTTACTAGAAAATGAAATAACCTTCCAACAAGATGGTGCGCCCCCGCACTATGCTGCTGCTGTGCGACAATTTTTGGATGACCATTTCCCGGGGCATTGGATTGGCAGAAGAGGTCCCGTCGAATGGCCACCAAGATCTCCGGATCTGTCCCCTTTGGACTTTTTTCTGTGGGGTCATTTAAAATCACGAGTGTACGCCACTCAGCCGGAAACATTGCAAGTGCTACGTCAGAGAATTGTAGAAGAATGCCGATTAATAACTGCGGATGTCTTTAATAATGTTCGAACAGAATTTGAAAACAGACTGTATTATTGTTTGGAAGTTAACGGGGGTCATTTTGAGCAATTCATCAAATAAATCTGATTTATTATTTGCTTCAGCTTTTTTATTTCATTTCTGACTTTTTTGTAAACTGATAGACACATCAATAACAATTAGGTAATGCGGTCATGTGTAGTAGATGAAAAACTTATTAGTGGTGGGCATTTGTGTAGAAATTACTACGCGTAAGTTGGTTTGTCATCTTTTCGTTTGTAACCAATAATTCTGTCAAATCTCAACCGATTTCTAAAAACGGTACGTCACTGTATTCGCAATGAAAAGGGCTTTAAAATGATGTGTCACAAGTGGGGTAGTTGCATTTGAAATTTTTAAGTTGGGGTTGCTAGGCATTAGGGGGATGAACATATCGAGTTGGCTTGACTGTCAAAAGAGCTCCCCCCAAGAACAAAAATCGACGGGTCTCGGCGAATTTTGAAATATTATTCGGTTTTCCAATTATAGGGGGGGTCAAATTTTCGTTGGGATACCCTGTATTTAAACAAACAATAATATGCATGCTATTAAGGAGATATGTATGAATTTTTGAATTTTTAATTATGTATTGGATTCTTGAATTCTTTAATTACATACTTTGTATATTACTGTGTACTCTGTTTTTGAAATGTATAGTTATTTACTACTATTATTGTAAGTTAGTATATTGCTAACGAAATTCTCTCTCTTTCTCAGTCTCTCTACTTCCGGAGAGTCTGTCATTACATGGAACCTTTATTATAGCATCTAATATGTTTTCAAGCCATCCAACAACTTCATTAAACCTTAACGATTCACAGCATCTTCATACTATACACGCATCTGCACTCAGTCATGTTTACTGATCCTCGTTTCCTAACCGATGCAGAACAAATATATTTTATGCAGTGATGAAGAACTATGTCACCGAACCGAACTATTGCATTGACATGCTCCGGTCCAAGTCTAATATATCTAACAAGGTTGTAAATTTGGTGTTGATTCAACTTAAATCTTTCCATAGTACAGAGGACAGAAAATTGAAGTGTTCAAATGAGAAAATTTGTTACAGAATGTGTAGCAAACTTTTCGTGATTACGATTGTGGCGCATATACTATACATCTTGAGTCACGGAATAGTTACAAGTCTATAATTTCTGTCTGCTCTCAATTTGTCATGTAAATCCTAATTCAGAGAGAGCTTTATATCTCATAATTGAAATAGCAGTAGGTAGTAAGGTATATTCCCTTCTACTTTTAGATAGTGTATCTATATACGAGTAGAAATGTTATGTCAGTAAACTCTACAAGTACGTCATTTTACGTTGATAATTATTATTAATATTTCAGTACAATGCAAATGTGCCTCACTTAAGGCACCAAATCAATAATGTTAACATTTCTCGAATCGATTTTATCTTATGTTGTGCAATTTACTCAAACGCAAGTACACAATAAAGCCAAGAGATTCTCGTGAACTTTGAAGTTTAAGTATCTTAAAAAAAATGTATGAGTAAATAAATATTATGAAGTGTACGTCTGTAGGAGAGGTATGGTATAACTATAAAATATTTGTAATAGTTAAGAGTAAAACGATATACTGTGTTTGATTTTGTTCTACTAGAACTCTCAATAACAAATTATAGCGAACATAACATGTCAAATAAAAAAGTGTTTTATTTTTTATTACGTTACGCAGATTTTAAAATCGAAACATTCATATAAACATGGAATCAGTACCTATATTATATTTTAAGTAATTTAAACACAAAAAACATATATTTAGTTAGTCAATAGATATTTAAAATTAAATTATAGCCTCGGTTATATTCAACGACTTCCAAAGGAAAACACAGATTTTAAAAAATCCCCTCTATCTTAACCTGGGTGCTTTTGATTGCCTGTCCGAGGCAACATTTCTGGTGCATGAACTGCTCGGCCGTTGCCCCCGAGAGAGAAAAATTTAACCTTTGTTGTGTTGTCCCCTTACTAACAAGTATAGTCTATAATAAATTAATAATGAAAATGAAAATGTGAATGAAAATAATTTGTGGAGTAAGAACAAGGAGGAAAGATAGAAAAATTCCAGACGCGGAAAGGCATTCCTTCCTTGTTTGATGGAAAAAATAACCTGCGCTGGCCAAACCCAAAGGTGAAAGCCATAAATAAAAGAAGAAGAAGCGACATGGAACACAACTTGTGATTTTATGTTTCTTAGGTAAATTAGTGAATTGTACAGCATATTTCTAAAATATGGTGATAATTTGGAATAGAACATAGGAAATATACCTAATATTAAGGAAAAAGTTTCCTATGAACGTGAGTCCAAAAGCAATTAATAAAAATGTTTTTAAATATATGACTCCAAAATGACTAATCAAATGTAAATTAAACTCAGTACAGCATTTTATATTATTGATTGCAATGATATCATGTAACAACAGTTTTTCCACAGTCATATGAGCTGAGGAGCAGAGGTTAGTTAAGAGTTATTTAAAACTATGTGTTTTTGGCAGTGCACATTTATTCATAGGAAATTTTTTGATAGGTACAGAAAAATCATTTTTCAAATAAGGTTATATTATATGGTTATGAATTTAAGAATTGCAAGCTGCGGCTGTTGTTCGTTTGTTTCTTAAATCAGAATATTTGCAATTCGCTTTGTAAATCTTTATAAGTGAGGCGTTAATTACTTTCAATAGTAAAAAATATTGAGTAACAATTTGAAAACGTCAGAAATACTTACCTTTTTAATTTAATTGAACCGGTTTAATTTTTGAATATTTTGAAGAAAACTGAAATCATTTAGCTTGAATAACGAATTTTGTCGGTTCTTAAAATGAGAATAGCATCAAAATCACCAAATATCACTCTCAATGACTTTTTTCATTTGGGGTCCAGTTTGGCACTAGGGTTATGTACGACGGAAAATCATTAACAAAAATGGTCTTGTCTTTTTTTGAGATAGCCCTTTTCCTTGGTAACACCTGTTCGAATGCTCTTCCTTGTTGTTTCATCCTTAGCATTTTAGCTTTCTGAACCTATAAATGTTCTTTAAAACGTCCTACCAAAAGAGAGTCCGAAGATCCAAATTTGGATAGAGTACGATTCATATTGCAACACTCAAGCTACAGAGTGCATATTATATCAGAGGGTAGAGTATGACTGGATGAGCAGACTAGTGATAAGCATCCTGTCGTTCACTACTCGCCTCCTGTACTAATAGGAACAAGCGTTGCTGTGAAGCAACAAGTTTCTTGTTGAACGATTTTCGGACATTTGAAATAATTTTTTCAACGAAATATATTTTTTCTTACAGAATTTATGTTTTTTTTGATTTATTGATTTATAAAAAATATTTTTTTATTTATATATTTATTGATTTATAAATTTATTTATTTATTCAATTAATTAATTAATTAATTAATTAATTAATTAATTAATTAATTAATTAATTAATTAATTAATTAATTAATTTATTTATTTATTTATTTAATTGAGCTAATTTTTATTATGTGATCCCACAAAATAATTATGCGTTTCTTTTTTTAGAGAACGACATGGATTAAATAGAAACAAATAAGCACTTAAGAATTATTTAGAAACATCTCTTATGAACAAAATCTTTAATGAATTATCTCTTTGGTTTCAGTTTTTCTAAAAAGCACAGAGAAGGAAGGGGTGCAAAGCAAATTTACGCATTTTATTTTATCTGTCATTAACGAAAAATTTGAGAAGGACATCGAATCGGAATCATCAGTTATTGGCTCATTGCAACTCTATGGGGACATGTCAACGAAGTTTAGTGAAAGCTGTCAAAATGCTGTGATTGAAGCTGATTCTCAACCCAAGTCTGAAATTCAAGTAAGTAAACTGATTACTATTTCTCAAAATGTCTTATAAAGTATTAAGGACTGTTTTATTTAGGCAAGTATTACTTACATATAAAAAAAATATGATATGTAGAAGAGACCTAAAAAGCGATACTCATTTTACATAAAATATTTTTCACTTTTTGTACTTCCGTTTATGTCGATAATATGCATTAATCTACATATTTTAGGGAAACATCCCATTTTTATTATATGCCTGAGTCCCTAAAATATTGGCTATGAATAACGAATTGATTTTATCTCACTCTAAGCTTTTCTGATTCTTCAAAACTCTTACTTGCAATAACAGAATAAATAAACAATAATACTATTTAAATAATTCCGTAATATTGACATTATTTTATATTAAATAAAAGAAAACTATATGTACATAGCTAATATACAGGGTAGCCCATCGAAAACATACGGCAAGGCATTACAGGGTAGTAATGAACTTTTCGGCAAAATCCAAAAACTGGTCAAATTTGTTTCTGAAGGGGACAACTTTTGNTCACGAGACGAGAGATGTCTTATATTATGTTCCTTTAGACAATTTTACAATAATCTAGCGGATAGGACTTTTTTCGAGTAAAAATTTAATTTGCTTGGTCTATATAGCTATTAAATAAATAATAATTAAAGTTAATTAAAATTCGTTGTTTTATCTTTATTATTTTATTTTATTATAGAGAACCTGTAACACTCTTATTATTGCATAACTGGTAAGCCACTACCGACAATTTCTTTGTCTTTCTGATATTAGTATATGCATCATATATTTGTCCTTCAATTTTAACAGTTCTTTTTCACTTTAGAAAGAAATTATTGTAAGAATTAAATAAAATGAATATTGTTACTGTAATTATAATTACATAATTGCAAATTACTCGGTTGTTTCTTAAACGCATTACAAATTACGCAAAGATCTCGAAAGATGTTTGACGTAGATTAATGAAATTTGGGTTCACGACGAAGACGAATTTTATATACAATTATATCAATATTTGGTGGAAATTCTGAGATATATTGTCTCTAAAAATATCATCATTTTAACGCCACCGAGTGTTTTGGAAGTTTTATAAATTCATTTAATTCATATTTATATTTTAATTATACATATATATAAAAAAGTTACATTAGAAGAAAAAAACATTTTTGAGGTACTTTTTATTATTAGATTGAATATAACATAGCCGCTATCTCGCTAGGCCTGGACGCCTCGTAGAAGTGTGCCCCTCCCTCCAACGACTTCGACAGCGAGTGTCGCCGGTATAGCTGATTTGTCCTCCTGTCTTAACTGGTGTTTCTTCTCCTGGTGCTCTTATTTTCCGGCTGGTTAAATTTTACCGTTCGCAGTTTTCAGATATACAGGGTTTTTCAAAAAGGTGTTGCCAAATTTTGAGCAAAAAACGATATCTGCAACGGTTTTCCAGAAAATGCCGATTTTTAGCTTCTTATGCTTCTACTGAAAATTAAAAATTATAAAGAATCTAGAATTATATTTTCCCTACATGAAACAAGTATATCTTTTTTATGTAAAAATGGTCAAGGAATTTGACAAATTAAAAAAGTTACAGATTTTGATCCTTAGCTTGCCCCCCGTAGGGACGCCCCTGAAAACAATGTGTCAATTTGGTTTAGATAAAGTAATTCCACGTAATAAATGGTACCTCTGTATAGAATTTTATCAATTTATTTCGAAGCATTTTCGAGATATTGTAATAAAATCGTCTTAATGGCCCCCTGTAAAAGGGCGTAGCGCCACAGGGGGGTGTTTTCGGACACATGTCGATGTGAAACTTTTTGCTCAAAATTACGTTCTCTATCATCTGTGTTCGTTTGGCAACACCTTTTTGAAATACCCTGTATAAATAGTAATACCTGTGTCTTCTAGTGAGCAAACAGCAAAAAAAATCCTAAAACTTCAGATTACCATTTTTTCCTATATACAAGGTGTCTCAAAATTAATGTACAAAAATTTATTAGCAGATACTACCAAAGATCCATCATAAAATTGATGGATAGACCTTGAAAACAAATAAATCTATGTTTACTTGAACATATTACAAAAATACAAATATAAAAAATAGAGGTGCACATTATCTATGAACCTTTCTGTTAGGGACACCCTTGAGTAAATTTTCTAAATAGTTCTCACGTAGTTCGTTAAAGTATTTAATAAATGTTCATCGTATCGAAATTTATAATTTTGCATTTTCTCGTCTTGGCAATGCTAAAAAGCATCGCTCGGACCCCCTTTAGGAAGTGTTTTCCAACGTATGTTTATGGAAGAAATAGTCTTATTTGTTGGTAGCAGTATCTACTGGCAAATTATTGCACACCGCGAGACACCGCGTACCGTGAGAAAGGTAAAAGAAGAATGTAAATGACACCGCACATAATTATCGTACAAGACAAACAAATAATTTGGACATTGTAAGTACAAATTTAGAATTTTTATTGTTAATATGGGAATGGTGGAAGTACCTCAGGATCTAACAAGTTCCTTCTAATTTTAATATACAGGGTATCCCAACGAAAATTTGACCCCCCTATAATTGGAAAACCGAATAATATTTCAAAATTCGCCGAGACCCGTCGATTTTTGTTCTTGGGGGGAGTTTCTTTGACAGTCAAGCCAACTCGATATGTTCATCCCCCTAATGCCTAGCAACCCCAACTTAAAAATTTCAAATGCAACTACCCCACTTGTGGCACATCATTTTAAAGCCCTTTTCATTGCGAATACAGTGACGTACCGTTTTTAGAAATCGGTTGAGATTTGACAGAATTATTGGTTACAAACGAAAAGATGACAAACCAACTTACGCGTAGTAATTTCTACACAAATGCCCACCACTAATAAGTTTTTCATCTACTACACATGACCGCATTACCTAATTGTTATTGATGTGTCTATCAGTTTACAAAAAAGTCAGAAATGAAAT